CTTCGTTCCTGACGCGATCGAGTAGGGTGAGGCCTACCGACCATCGGAGCATTCGCATCTCCATTATCTGGAGTCTGCTTTCGACTTCTTTGGTCGTCGGCCAGCACTCTGCGCCGTATATGGCCACGGGGCGCACCACAGAGTTATAGATTTTCGCCTTCAGGCGCATCGGCATCTTCTTGTCACAGAGGACGCCTGTGACGGACTTCCATTTGCCCCACGCTGCATTGATCCTGGCTGCCACCTCAGTTTGTAGTAGGCCTTCTTCCCCAAGAGTAGTTCCCAGGTACTTGAAGGTGGAGGCGCGCGGTAGTTCCTGCCCGTTCACGTGGATGGAGCCTGTCATTTCAATGTCAGTGGTCAGGTATTCGGACTTCTTTAGGTTCAGCCGGAGCCCGAACTGCTCGAGGCGGTCGTGCCACTGTTGGACTCGGTGCTCGAGTTCAGCCTTGCACAGGTTGGCCAGGAACACATCATCGGCGTAGAGCAGCGTCCATGGGGCGGGCGTGTACAGGTCGTGTGTAATTGTGTCCATCACCAGAATGCAAAATATTGAATGCAAAATATTCCTTCTTATTGATAAGATTCTGACTTTTAGTCCAATTGGATTCCAAGTAGTGTACAGGAAGGCGCATCAGAAAGTCCCCGTTGCAGATAACAAATTCTCCTATCAACTGTTTCAAAACTGTGTCAGTTGGACTGTGCCTCACCTGGCCCCTCTCAGCTGGGAGGCTGCACCACCAGGAGCCATAAATGATGGACAGGTGAAGAATGATTTCTAATCCTTCTTCCTACTTTAGAGGCCTTCCAGAATGCTTTCTCCTGCCAAGGTTTGTTTGCAGGAACAGCAGCGAAGAGCCTTGGAGTCTGAAATGGCCTTCTGGAATCAACAGGGGGGTCTCTTCCCAGCCACAACCCCTGGGCTAAGGCCATGGAAAGCTCCATCCTTGGGGTCAGCCGTTCTGCCTGCCTCCTTCCAAGGAGCCCCTGTGATTTCAGCATTTAATGTCTAATTTTAGCTCCCCTTGGCACCTCCAACTTCGCCCACACATGCACCCCCCCACCCTGTAACCTTCGAGTAATTCCATTTGTGGCTTGGCAGAGAGCCCAACTCTGGGGAAGGTTTTCCAGAAACCACAGGCATCTCAGAAAAGGCACGGAAGGGAAGGGAAGGGAAGGGAAGGGCAGCTATTCAGCTTAGCAGCTGCCTGCGGAAGGGAAAGAGGCTGCCTGGGGCTGCAGCGGCTGCTGAGATCCAGCAGGGGGTTTGTTCCTCTGCAGTGGGGGGGGGTGGGGGTCGGAGGCTCTGAGGACCTGCTGATTTTGAAACTCAATTATTAGCAACCCAAAGCCCCCCCCCCATTTCCTCTTCATGGCCAGCAATGACCAGAGAAGCGGCTGCAGAGTTGAATCCCTTCCTGGCCTCATTTTTGGGTCCCTGGTTCCCCTTAAATCTTGGCTTCAGGGAAGGGTGAGAGTCCCCCTGGCTCCATCTGGGAAGAGCCCCCAAAGGCTCAAAGCCAGCCAGCCCTTCTGCTGAGGCCGCCTGCTGAGCTGCCCTTCTTCCCCTGGGGTCTGCAATGCAGGGCAACAGCCAGGCTGCCTCCATCCTAGAACTCTGTACAGCCGTGCAGTCCCTTAAAAAATGGGGCGTTGCACAAGGAGTGGTAAAGGTGAGACATTGAAGAGGGGGGGCTCTTGAGGGTTATTATAGCCCCAAGTCATCCCTCGCCCCCTCCCACAACCCCCCCCCTCGCCTCTGGTCCTCCGTTGCCTGGGCTGGCGTATGGGGGCTTTGGGGGTGCAGTTGTCTGTCTTTATTCTTGGAATTGAACAGGCAGCCCAGAAGCACATCGCACCCCTTCGGGTCCCCCCTGCGCTTCTCAGCCCCTTTTCTGCCTTTCTACTAGTGGGGAAAGGAATGTCCTGAACTTTGAGGACTCAGAGACCAGACGTGACGGAGAGAGAACGGGGCAATTTCTGGAAGTCGCCCATGGAATAATTTCAGACGAAGAAAGCAAACCGCTTGGGACATGCAGGGGTCTGGTATCGACCTCAAGTTTAATTTTGGCATTCCAGCACAATCAACGCTTTCCTGGAAGCCTAAACCAGGCTTTCCTGTCTCTGCTGGGGCCTGGAGTCTGAGCGTTTGCTCTAAACTTTAGATGCCAGGCAGAGCCCTCTGATAAAGTCACTTTATCCAAATAGCTCGGATTGTGTGACTTTTTATTTACTTAGGTGGTATTGCTAGACCCAGGGAAGGCTTGGCTGCTGTGCAAGGCCAGTGACCAAGATATTTTCCCTGCGAGCCGCCTGCCTGCCTGAGAGCCGTGGGCTGAGCTGGGCCCCTTGGTGTGCAGTTCCTGGATTATTATCTGGCAAGGAAGAAGTTGAGACAAACCGCAGGTGATATTTTAGACCTGGGTGGTTTCTTCTACAGTCTACACCATGTTTGGATCAACCCTGAAGGAGACGCCTTGAGGCCCTGGGTGTTCATCCACCCCTCCTGAGCCCCCTTCCCTTCTGCCATTTCTCCTCAGGAATCGCAGGCTACGGGAAGTGGCTGAAAGGTTACCTTTCTCTGAGCCACCAGGTCCCATGAAAAGGGAGAAGCCCAGCCGGGCCCAAGGAAACAAGAGCCTGCTGCTACATTTGCTGCCTGGAAGAGGAGTGTGCATCACAAGCACCCTGGCTGACTCCCGTTCCTTTAATGCAAACAGTGGTCAGGGAAGGCTGCCACCCCCACCCCACCCCCCACCCCCGAGAAGCAGGATCTGGCCAGCAATGGCCCTCCGGAAGCCCTGCGCCTCCTCCGATGCTCCTGTCAGCCGAGAGGCAACACTTCAGCCTGGCCTTTGGGGAGAGGACCTCACTAGAAGGACCGAGGGGCTGGGGGGCGGGGGGAGCTGCTCTTGGGCTGAAAGCAAAGGAGGATCCTTGAGCGGGAAGCTCAGAAGGGCCGGGAGCGGCCCAGCTGAGGCCGTAGCCGGATCCGGGAAGGGAACCGGGCCCCTTCTGCTCATGGCTCCGGCAAGCAGGTGAGAGAAGTCATCAGGGGCCCAGAGCTGGCACCGCTGGCAGGACCCCGACACCTGCCTTGTCCTGTCCAGGAGCTGGGTGGAAAGGAGATCCATCCTCAGTTCTGCTCCTGGTAGGATCCTCTGGCCTGGAGCTCCTGCCAGCCCCTCTCGTGCCAAGGGGATGACCGGCATGTTGCTGGAGGCCCACCCAGGGCATGGAAGCAAGTTGGCGTTGGATCCCATCAACCTGGGCAGCTCAGATCGATGGAAGAGGGTTGGTGAGGCCTCTTCAGCAGGAAGACCCACAGAGAGACCCACACAGGCATCCTCTTTCCCACGGGGGCGGGGGGGGGAGGCCATCCCGCTCGCTGCTTTCTGCCTCTTTCTCTTCCTCCAAAGGGGAGGGAGGCAGGATTGTCCCGCAGGGAGCTAACCCCTGGGGCCCCTCTGCCCTTTGCTTAGCGGGCAAGAGATTTTCCCACCCTGGCCGGATTCAAGGCTCAGCCTGCAACAGGGGCCTCCCCTCCCTCCCTCCCTCCCCAGAATCCAGCTCTTCCGCATTCCCACAGGAGCTCTGCCAGGGAAGGCAAAGACAAAGCGGCCTGGAGCTTTCCTGACGTCAGGCTGCACATCCCAGCAACTGTGGCGGGTCTGGTCAGCCGCCAGTTCTCTGGAGCTGGGTGGAAGGGAAGTGGGGGGGCTGCCTCTGTGGCTGCACCAGTTGAAGGGCTTGGGCGGGCTGCCCCCCCTTCCGAATTAGATCTCAGGGAATATGCGGTTCCTTTATGGAGATTCCTCTACAAAATGCAGCCTTGGGGAGCTGCAGCCGTCCCCCCTGCCCTGTGGATTGCTAAGGCCCAGGCAAGGCATCTGGGGACCGCCAGAGCCCCCGACCCTTCATGCCACATCCTCCTCCTCCTCCTCCTCCTGCCTGCTGCCCTGTGCAGCCAAGCAGCAAAGGCCCTGAATGGCTCCAGCAAGGCCTTTAATCATGTGGCAGGCAGGAGAGGCTGGCTTAAGGGCACCAGTTTCCGTTCTACCACCCCCAGCAGCTGTCTTGAGAGCCGGAGGGGCCGGCCAGGCCAAGGAGATGCTGGGCAAAAGGTTTATCCAACCTGAGGCTCCGCCTTCCTGCTGTCAAGGGCCCAGAGGCTTCCGGAAATGGAGACTCGGGATTCCTCTCACTGAAAGGGGAGAAGGTGGCATTTGCTGCTGGAAAGGCGAGGAGAGAGCCCCTCTATGAACGTGGAGGGCAGAGAGTTCAGGACAGGTTTGCAACCCCCCCCCCGCCCCCCCCCCCCCCACGGCCAACCATGGGCTCAAGAAAGGGCAGCCCCCTCCCACCTCCACTGCTCCAGCTTTTGTTGCGCAAAAAGAACAAACTGGGAGAGGTGGCGGGTGTGTGTGTGTGTGTGTGTGTGTGCCTTGTTTCTCATGGCCTGGCAGTTTTGCACAGCAGAGCTGGGGTTAATGTCGTCTTCCTTGCAGCAGGAATACTGAATGTGCATCAACTCATGTGAGTGTGTAAGTTGCACGAATGTGCCCCTTGCAGCTGCCTTGTTACCGGAGGGTCTCTTGCGGTCTCCCCCCGCCCCCGTCCTCTACATGTGATGGTCCCCAACTCTTGCGCTTTCTGATCCTGGGACCTGGCCATCCCTTCCGAGCCCGGAAGCCTGAGAAGGAGATCTCAGAATGGGGGGCTCCCCCCGTCCTCAGCAGAGGTGGAGCCGAACCCTGAGCTTCTGGCCCCTCTCCTCAAGGTGGGCTACCAGCTTTCCACTGACCTCAGGGAGAGCGAGAGAGTGAAGGGCTCTGGGCTGACCTCTGCAGACCAGGGCTTGGGCCATTCCAGAGGAAAGGATGCCCGGGCAACACTTGGAGCATTTCCATGGTGGGAGGAAGGACCGGCACTCCTCGCCTGCTGCCTGCTGCCACCAGCATCCTATCCCACTGATCTGTTAGGAAGGAGACAGGCGCCAAGATATTTTGTTCCTTTATTAGGTGTGGCCCCTGAACCTGCCACAGGAGCAACCCAGCTCAAAATACACCGTGAAGAGCTTTGCTGGCCTCCACCTAGGACAATGCTCACCTGTAGACTTCCCCTCCCCACCTCTGTAACTCAAACAGCTGTGGGGGAGGGAGGAGGACACTCAAGGGCAGCCTTTAAGCACCTGGGGCTTCTGCTGGCACGCACCTGAGGTGGCCTTTCTTCCAGCTAGGAGCAAGACGCTCCCCTGAAGGTCAGGCTTTCTGCAACCCTAACGTGGCCCCTTAATGTGGGGCTCTGCCAGACAGCACCAGGTTGGTGAATATGCGCTGCTTGTACCCTGGGCGAGGGACATCCACCCTGCACCCCCTCCCCACACGCTCCTTCTTTCTAACAGAAAGTTTAGGGGGCACTTTAGAAAGTGAGCGAGGCTTTTGGTGTGCAAAGAGCCCACTGCCCCCGGGACCCCTGGCACCTCCTCAAACTGGGCACCGAGGTCGCAGTCACCCCCACTTCAATCAAGGGAAATGGGTATATTTAGCCATGCCAGGTGGTCATATGAGGCAAGGGGTTTTAGTGCTTTTGCTCTGCTGCCCTTCAAAAGCAGCCCTGGCACCCAAGCTGCTCAGAGGAGGGACGGGGAAGGCGCTGGCGGCAGGGCGTCTGGCAAGGGCATCCCGTCAGGTCAGTCCGAACTTAGTTCATTGCAAGGCTACCAAGTGCCCCTGCGAGGCCCGCAATGAAGCCCCCCCCCTCCCCCGGTCTTTACTTGGCAGGAACTAGCCGAGCATTGCTGCACAATCTTGCAGGGCCCCCAGCCCCCCCCCCAGCCATACCGCATCCCTGCTCCGGGAGGGGCTGAGGTGGGGCAGAAGGGTTGGCGTCCCTCAGCAGCTGCTGGGTTCAGGCTGGACACATGGAAGGGAAGAGACTCAAAGTCAGAGGCCACTAAATGAAACCGGCATCAGCAGAGCATGGGGGGGGGGGGTCACCGGCTTTGGCGCTTTGCTTTTGCTGGGGCCCCAGGGAGTCACTCGCGGTGGAAAACGTACTCCGTGTACGAGGTCCAGATCTTGTCGTCCGTCTGTTCGTGGGCAAAGGCGCACGTCCCAGTGGAGTTGCAGGCCACCATGTTGAAGCCGGCATCGGCCAGCCGGTCGAAGGCCTGCTCCAGGAAGGTGAACTTGAGGTAGTACCTGGAGGTGTAGCGCTCGGGGGGCCGGTCAGGGTCCCTGCTCTCGTTGAGGGTCTCCCCAAAGACCTCCTTCGCCAGGGAGGTCTTCCCACACACCATGATTCTCGCCACCCGCCGGAACTTGGCGTCCGTTTGGCTGTCTCTCCCCAGAGTGTAGGAGCCCCGATAGCCGATGGTGATGAAGCCGGACCGTCGGGCCTCCTGCCCCCCACCGGCTCCAGCTGTGGCGGTCAGGGAGCTGCCAGGGAGGCTGGACAAGAGCGCGCCAGCTGCCCCCAGAGTGCGAGCGGCCTCTGTGCTGGGGGAGAGCTCCTCGGGGTCGCTGGCGCAGGGCTCCTCACCCAGGGAGTCTTGCTGGCTGATCTTGGGTGCCAGGCTCTTGGCCAGCTCGGGCAGCTTGAAGAATTCGGCCTCCCGCTGCAGGCGGCTCCGCTCAGGGAAGCGCTCGGGAAGCACCAGCTGCCGGTCCCTCAGGTAGTCCAGGATGTAGCGGAAGAGGAAGCCGTCCCGGTCGACGAAGAAGCGGCCTTTGCTATCCCGGGCCAAGGCCTGGGCGCTCTGCTGGCTGAAGAGCTCGCAGAGGAAGGAGCCGGGCATGCCCATCAGGGTGCTGTGGCGGGTGAGGTAGACCTGCCCACCCACGTTCAGCTCCACGATCTCTGGGAAAGCTGAGCCCTCCCTGGGACTGGCACCGCTGGCGTTGTCTGCCAAAGCCATCCTGCGGCCCCCCTGGGGGAGAAAGGAAGAAAGAAGCACAGGGAGGTTAGGCCCCTCCTGCCCGGGTGGGGTGCTGCTCCCGGGCCTTTAGGCGGCCCCCCCAATGCAGACACCTCTCAACTCCGCCACCATCCTTTGCCTGCCACCCCAGAAACAGACACCCACGACGGCTGAGGTGCTGAGGCAGCAATCTGACCTCTGCCCAAAACTGCCCCTGCCACGCAGGTGCCAGGTGGGAGAATGGCAATGCCCAACACGGGAGCCTTACTCAATTAAAGAAAAGAGCGAGTTGATAGAATGGGGTTTGCTGGTCACTTTAATTTGGATACAGGTAAAAAGAGGACAAACGGCTCATTTCCAAAGAAAGGTTGCAGAACCTGTCCTCATTTATGGCAAGATCCATTTTAATCCACGCAGCGTCCCATTTGAGCCGCTCCCAGCAGAGCCCCAGAGTCCTCCAGCTGGCATTGCCCCCACCCCCCACCCCAATGCTGCAGTCCTGGGTTGAGAGTCTTTGCATTCCACGCCTGGGATCAGGGGAGAATCCCTGCAGGGGAGAGGAGGGGAAGGCAGGCCATCCCCACCTGCTGGGGGTCCCTTACGAGAGCCTGCAGGGCTGGGAGTTCATGGCAGGTGAGCAGAATCGCTCCCCCCACCCACCCCCAGCCTTCTAGCAGTTAGGCCGCCGGGTGGCGTGGCTGGCCGGTTGGCCTCTAAGCCTGGCTCACGTCCATGAATCGAAGGTTTATTGGAGGAGACACCTGATGCCTCTGGGAAGAGTCCTTTTCGGTCCATCAACTGAGCAGGGAACTGGGCCAGGGCTTTGGGCGCGGCCCTCCCTGCCCCCGGGGGACCCTCCCTTGGCCTGCCGGTCACAAGGCGCCCCCCACACCTCCCAGCCTCCTGCTTGGGACAGCTCAGCCGGGAGGAGTCAGAGGACACAGGAAGTAAAGGGCTGAAGGGCTTTTCTATCCCAGGTCTCCTCCTTCCTGTTTGTGCCAACACTTTTTGGCCAGAAGGTTGGAATTTCTGAGGCAAAGCGAAGGGCTGTAGTGGCCGAGGACACTTATAAGCTGCCCCACTGGATGCCGTTTCTTTTCTCCTGGTCCTGCACGGTCCAGGGCTCCCCAAGCCTGAGGCGGGGGTGGGTGGGGGGAAGGATGCATGTGGCCCCCATAAATGTATTCCCTCTGGGCCCCTTTGCTTCCCCTTGGGACTGGGCCCCACTTGGCAGCCGAAGTCAGCCCAAGGGGTGGCCTGGTCTGGCCCCTATTTCCTTCCTTGCAGGATGGGGTGACCTAATCCCCCCCCCACCCCGAGCACACACGGAGCAGAGCAGCCTTTGTCTTGGTTCTGGGAAGAAGAGAAGGGGAGAAGGGGAGGGGGGCGCGGGGAGGCTCGGAGCAGGGATGGGGGGGGGGTATTGGTTTCCAGGCGCGCAGCTCCCTCTGGGTCAAGGACCTCGCCCAAAGCGGCCCAGCCGCCGTTGGACTCCCCTGCTGAGGCCAGGGCGCCGTTAAAAACGCGGCTTCGGAAGGAAGCAGCTGCTTCACCCACGGCGCACACAGAAGCGGCTGAGCGGACGAGGGGCTCTGGCACACCCCGGCCTCCCGGGGACAGAGGCCCCGCTCCAGAAACCCTCGGGAGGGAAGGACGCCTTCCTTGTGCCAGAGCTCCCCCACCTCCTACACACGCGTTGCCCCATCCCGTCATTCTGACGGTCCTTCAGATGAAGCTGCCTCTTCCTGCGTGTTCGGCCCCCCGGCCGCACCTCGCCGCTGTCCACGGTCTGCAATACTGAATGTGGAGAATTCCGCGCGTGGAAACGGGCCTGCCAACGGCAAGCCGCCCCCGCTGCAAAGTTCCTCTGGAGAACACGTGTGCGCCTCGGACCTAGATGCCAGAGCCAGGCCGATGGCCGTCTGCCCTCGCTCACGCGCGGAACCGCGTTGTCCGGCCAAGGGCGCTGCCCAGCGGGCCTTCGGCTTACCCCGTCCTGCGTTCCCAAAAATCCCGGGCACAACCTGGCGGCCGGTCAGCATCCCCCGCCCCGCCCGCCCGTCTCTCGGATGGGCCCCTTTCCGCACGCACTGCGCCAGATGCGCTCCCGTCTTGCGCCCACCTTTCCAGCAGCGGCTCCGGGCGGCAAGCGCGAGGTCTCCGAGGCCAGGACTAGCCGCTCAAGCCGCAGCCGGCAGCGGCCGCCTCCGATCGTTGCGCCGCGCCGCGCCGCCCCCCGCGCCAAGCACAGCCAGGCGGGACGGGATCAGCGGTCGGCGAGGCGCCGGGGTCTTGCCGGGCGCCGTCCTGGCCCTCCTGCGCGGCGGTTCCTCACTCTCCTCGCCGCCCCCTCGACCCGGCCGCTTTTATTCGCGGGCAGCCTCGGCAGGCCCTCCCCCGGCTGGTTGACGACACGCGCCTCGCCTCCTCCCCCTCCTTCCTCCGGCAGCCCAGCCCAGCCCCCGCCGCTCCTGCCCTTCCTCGGCGGACTGGCCCGCCGCGGGTTGGGCCCCAGGGGCCCGGGAGAGAGGGGGGCGAGGACAGCTAGAACCCGCGGAAAACCAGCAGGGCCTTCCCGGGGGCGGGGGCGGCCAGGGGTTCCACGCGGACAGCCTCGGGCGCACCGGGCACCGAGACGCGCCTCCGACTCGCAAGCGCAGGGCAAGGGGAGCCCGGGATCCGCCGCGGCCGTTCGGCCAGGATCCACGCAGATTGTTGACAAGCGTGGGTTGTGTGCCCAGAGCCTCGGACAAAGAGCGGCGCATGCTCTGAAATCTAGCCTCCCCCGGGTTGCGCCAGGGGCAGAAGGAGCTTCTGCTTCAGGGACATTTCGCTTTTGGCAGAAATCCCAGAATCTTCATGCTTAGTCCGGGCGTTACAATTCATCCAAAGACCGGTGTGGCTGCCCATCCCATGTGGCACAACGTGATAAAAACAAACAGCATCCACAACACAACCCACTCTCCAAAACCACACTCCCTAAAGCACAAGCCCCCCCCCATCTCTGGGCTCATCCCGGTGCTGGCGGGGGTGGGGGGCTTTCCAGTTTGTGCTCTTAGGAGCTTCCAGGCTTTGGAGCGAGGCTGCCGGCAAGGAGAGGAAGCAGCTTCCCCAAACTCTGTCAAAAGAACGGTTGCCCCTACAGCCCCCGCCCCCCCCCAAACCACCTCCTGCTTTCATTGTGAAAGTGGTTTACAGAGTAATTCTGCCGTTTTCATTAAAACAGGGCAGAAGCTCCAGCTCCTCATCGGGCAGCCAAAGGCAGAAACGTGAGCAAAGCATACCCCCCGATTTGGGGACGGGGCATCATGGAGAAGGCTCAGCCGCCTGCAAGGAAGACGCCTCTCTCGAGGAAAGCATTTGACGGCTGGAGGTGCGGTTGGAACCTCCCCCCCCCCCCCCCCGGCCCAGGTGGGGCACCTTGGAATCCAAGCTGCCAGGTTCTAATCTGGACAGTGGAGTCCTTGGTTCTAGCACTGATTATGTTCCCTGGTTGGGTAATGAGATGTCTGCAAGGGAACAACCAAACTTAGAAAAAACCAGGTTCAAATATTCTCTTCCATCAGAATCTGGACAGTTTTGCACACTAGGAATAAGTTCTTGCTTGGTAGAAACTTCTAGAACAGTGACTCTTTACTCTTTGAACAAGGCAGCCTGCTCAGAAATAATCATTTGCGTGACTAAAAATGCTTCTCAGCCAGGGCACCAAAGCAGTGGGTGACCTTGAACCGGAGCAGACATGCAATGGAGAAAAAGCAGGCAGGGAGGGAAGGACAAAATAAGCCGAGGTGTACCCCTAATTGGGTATCCAGGTTTCTCAGGGAGCAGGTGGCCTGACCAGCCAGGATTTGAGGAGAGGCCAAGTCAGCTCAAGTGTCCCCAGGGCACAGGGCCCACGAAGGGCAGGGGAACTAAAAGACTGGGCCCCAGACACCGGTGAGGCCTGCCTGTTCCTCTTGAGCTTTCCAGCTGGGGAGATGGGGCCCCCTTGACTCTGCAGAAACAGCTTGGCTTCAGCCTCTCGCTTCTCCAGGGGACAAGGCATTAATATTTATGAAGTAATTACCGGGTTCTCCCATTCCTCTGCAGCTCCCTAGGACATAATATATGCCAGCCATAAATCGAAGTGCGGTGCCAAGTTGCTCTCGGGCCCTAAAGCAGCGCTGGGGTGTGATGGATCACAGGAGGAAGTGCACACAAGGGCTGTGAAATGCCAGAGGGCTGAATTAATGGCTTTCGAGTCCAACCCTCTTATTTTTACTGCTCTCGCTAACCATCGGCCTGGGCTTCTGTCCCTCCCTCCCTCCGCATATGGAATGCAGAGTGAGACTGCGGCAGCCACTCGCGCGCTCACCAAGAGCCAGGCCAGGCTGGCAGGAGGGCTCCAGGTGGGGTGGCAGAACTGCGGGGAATCTGCTGCAGCCGGTGCTGGTGGGGGTCAAGAGCTCAGCCATTGGCTGGACTCCCGTGAGGTCACAGAAGATTCAAGGCTGGAGAAACACAAGCCAAGAGACGGATTTCTCTTTGGCTGTACGAGCCCCTCCAGCCCACCTGTGTCCCCCGGCCCTTGGGCCAACTTTGCCATGGGGAGGAAGAGCAGCAGGAAGCCTTTAACACACACACACACACACACCCCGCCGCCTTTTTTCCTTCCTGGGTGCTTCGGTTGCTTTTCATTCTTCCTCCGGGAGGCCAAAGGTTTGTGCTCCTTACCCAGGGCTGCTTCCACCCTTCCTGGCACCTGCACAGGTCACACTCACTGCTGCTTCTCTCAACCACCAGGGAGAAGCAATTCCAACGCAGGCAAACTTTATTTCTCCTGGCCAGGTAGGCAAGTGTTACTGGTGCACGGAGCTGCCCCTCCCCACTCGGTGGAAAATTTTGCAAACCATCGGAACAAACCGTCCCATTCAGCAGGGGAGGCAAAGCTGGCCAGGCCAACCACGCTCACCAGCTAGCCCCCCCCTTCCCCCCCCCGTTTTGTGGATGTTTTGCCCCATCACAAAATCTCAGGCGACTTCTGGGCGTTTGATTTTTAGTGGGTTCTCTCCTGCTGAAGGAGGCTCTGCGTCTCTTCTGATCACCAGGTGCTCCTCAGCTGTGGCTGTGCTCGTCCAACCTGTTGCCTGAGTGAAGGAGACCCAACCCGTCACACGACTGGGCAGGGACTCCAAGCCCACCTGTGGGAGGGAAGAATATGCGCTTTTGACCTGTGGGGTTGCTGTGACACCTGCGGAGCTGGTCTATTGGCCGGAACAGCTTCATCGGTTCCTGCCCCCTCCCCCCGCTCCCCCACCCCCTTTCAGTGAAGCAGAGAGCCAGTGGTGGTCCAGCAGGTCTGGGAAAAGGGGCTGGGTGGTCCTGAGGGCTCTGAATCCCCTCGCATTGGTTGGCTGGCTAAATGTACCGGCCACCCAGCTCCCTAGCCAGCCATTCGTGTTCCAGAGGGGTCACAGGGGCTGCTGGCCCTGCCGGCCCGTGGGGAGCCCAGGCACTCGGGCCTCCAGGGACTCGCCTAGTAATCGCGTCTCTTCATGACCTTCAGGAAGTCCTGCTCGGTCACCTCCCCGTCGCCATCCAGGTCGGCCTCCTGAATCATTTCCTGCAGGGCAGAGAGGGAGGCTGGGGCGCAGGAAGACCCTCCCCACGGGGGCAGCCGGGACTTGCAGGGCTGGCAGGGTCCCTGGCCGGGGGGAGGGGGGGAACCACCTGCAGCTCCTCGTCGGTGAGCTTCTCCCCGATCTCAGCCGCGATCTGCTTGAGGTTCTTGAAGGCGATCCTGCCGCTGTCCTTGTCCACGAAGAGCTTGAAGGCCTTCAGGATGTCCTCTTTGGAATCGATCTCGGACTGCGGGTTATGGGGGGGGGGCAGGAAGCTCCTTTCTCTCGCCCCGCGGAGCCCCCCGCGGCCCGCAACCCGCCCAGGGGCTTCCCACCCGACCCCTCCCGCTTCAGAAGAGGGGAGGGCTAAAGGGGGGAGGGCTCCGGTCTGGCGGCCCTACCATCTTCTGGGCCATGACGGAGTAGAAGGCGTCGAAGCCGATCTTGCCCGCGCCCTCCTTGTCCACCTCCGCCACCACCCGGCGCAGCTCCTCCTTGGTGGGGTCGAAGCCCAGGGCGCGGATGGACACCTGGCCGGGGGTGGGGGGGAGGCGGTGAGAACGAGAAGGGGGCCGGGATCGCCCCGCCCAGCGCCCGACCCCGCCCCGCTCGCCTTCAGGTCCCGCACGTCGATGGTGCCGGTCCCGTCCGCGTCCAGCAGGTCGAAGGCCTCCCGCATCTGCTGCTTGTGGGCCGCGCTGAGCTCCAGCTTCGGGCCGAGCTTCCTCCGCGGCGAGGCCGCCGCCGCCGCCGCCGCCTTCCCTCTATGGGCCTGGACGTGCGAGAGCCTCCATGACCGCCGCCGCCCCGCAGCCCCGGCCCCTCTCGCCCCCGCCCGCCCGCCCGCGGCCCGCCTCACCATCCGCAGCTCCTCGACTGGCGTTGCCAGGGCGACACACGCGGGAGGGGCAACCGCCCGCCCTGGACCTGCCCCGCCTCCCGGGACCCGCCCCCCCCCCCCCCCCCCCCCCCCCCCCCCCGCACAGAAAAGAGGCAGAGACAGGCACCACCGGTGATCTCATCTGTATTTGTCACTCATCAGGCAGCCACAAAGGCCGGTAGGCGGGCAGGCAGAGCTCCAACCGCCAACTCCTCCCCC